ACACACACACACATATATATATATATATATATATATATATATATATACTGTATATATAAAATTAAAACGGAACAGTAGAGAAAATCCGATCAGAATGACAAATTAAATAGTTTTGCATTATGTGACCGTTTGCTGTTTTATGGGTTTTTCCCATTTGCCTTTCACAATATATATATATATATATACACATTTCCAGAATAGATAAGTGAGCACATAAGGGCAAACAGAAAAATCCATTAGATTATCACTCCCAAAAAAAAATTTAGTGTCAAAATGTGGGGAGGGGAACCCCCTTACTGGATCCGCACCTGAATTCTCATATTTCACAGAGTAAATAAAGAATAAATTTTTGGTGTGTTAACATACTTTTTTTGATTGTTTTCTTTTATTCTTGTTCTTGAGAACCATAGGTGTAGCAGCAACAGCATTCGAATCAATACTTGCTTCATCTTCTGCGGGTGGACCTTTTTTATAACAAAATATACAGTAAATAAATTAGTACTGACACACACAATATAGAAATAATTTTTGTAATTACATACGTGGAGGCATTATAATATTTGACCATACCTGTTATTTTTAAAAATGTATTTATACTAGTAATTAAAATAACTTTGGATTTGTTTAATTAATAAGATGATATTCAGCAGTGTTGGTATTATATGAAAGTTTATGTAATTATGGAAGAAATATATTATATTTCCTCCATGATAATAGATTAAGGCCTAGTAAGTAAGGTTCTCTTAAACTAAATTCACTTACATATGTCAATTCAATCATTGTCAACAACAAATCATGGAAAAGACCCACTACTACCTAGACTCCGGTACCCCTAGCCTAGGCCTACTACTACTATACTAATAATTTCTAAGTAGGCTACATATAAATGGAGACCATACCTACGCCGAGCTTTCGCGCAAGAGTCCCGATTCTCACTAGAGGCCTAGGCTAGGTGGTAGGGCACAACATGCCCTCGAACAAGCCATACATTGGCCCTATACTACTACACTAGAGGGATAGGCCTAAGCTAGCTTGCTTGGCCTCCTTGCCGGAGAAATACTACAATTGCACTCTCATCACACATATACTGTTGATAAAAAAAAAACAATACCATTTTCTTGGTCTTCTAGTTCATTTGCTGCCTCCAATTCTTTGAGAATTTCATCCTCTAACTCATCTTATAATTCATAAAAGTCGATAGCATCAGTCATGTCATCCATATTTTCAGCACGATCTCGAAAGTCGTAACTTGGCTTCTTGTTGCCCCGAGTGATTTGTTGTGGCTTGGTTGTTGACAGATACTGGCGCATGCGCGGTTACCGATTACAGCTTATCTATTGTTAATTACGGTTACGTAACTGGTGAGATATGACGATCGCGGCGAGGAGGTCTGTACCTTTGATCCTCTGTCGATGGTACTCCTTCTTAATATATTTCCTCCATGGTTAAATTTGTCATGTTATAGGCCTAACAATTATTGTTTTTGTTCATATAAAACAGTAGACTGTACCTATTTGTTGACTTTTTATCATTATTATTTATAAAATGAAAACATAGCAAATTATTTCTGAAATTGTGGAAGCCTTGCGTCTATTCCATAAGCCTCACTCGAAACACACATACGTACGACTTGAAACTAATTGCGAATTTTATAATAAAACACGGGCAAGAACAGTATAGCTGTATGACAACCATATGACAACTGCCTCATACTTTTTTGAGGTAGAAACTCCATAGGTTAGAACATGAAAAAGGTACAGTACATGGTAAACCTAGGCTATATTATTATTATGCATGTACCCGTAAGCTTGGCCGCTGACACTGACAGGCAAGCTAATAACTCTCTCGCTCGCTGTAGACTGGCTGAAGAGGTCATCGGTTGCCGCGTATCTAAGGGAAATGTCTCTTCGTTTTGTGAGCCCGGAACGCTCCGGAACGACATGCAAGTTAAAAACTAAGATAGATATGCCTTATATATACATATATATCATATTTTTATAATCTGGAGAAACCTATTTGAAAGAAAATCTCCGTTTTCCCCCGAGTAGTTGCTAGAATCTTCGTTCAGCCATAACATCGCGTAAAATGTTGTTTTATTGAAGTTTTTATTTTACTTATTTTGAATTATCCGCATATGTTCGCATATTGAGATTTAGTTATTTAAAAAGAGAAATATTTTTTCTTTCGATTAAGGCCATTTAGATGACCGTGCACATTGTTGCATTTTCACGGCGCGAAGTTCTTTCTTGCCTGTTCCGAAAGCATTTGTTACCTAGCTAGGCCTAGGACAGGGGCCTAGGTTTGTTTACAGGTTAGATTAGATCAATTACGGCCTATAGGCCTAGGCCGTGTAGTATGTAGATCGTTAATAATAATCTGTACATTAATAATTAGGCATTAAAATATGATCGAGGTTTGTGTGTTTCTTTCCATTCAGTGCTTTTTTTGTATTGATTGTCCTTTTCTAGCCACCTAGGCTAGGCCTAACAGTAACACAATATGCCTAGCTAGGTCTAGGCTAGGCCTAGTAAGTATTAGTAGTACTAGGCCTAGTTCCTTCTCCTTCCTAGTCTTAGGGCCTTGGGTGCCTGGCTAGCTAGTCTTATGTGTACTGGACGGCTTGTCACATTTTGTATTACTTGGTATAGGCCTATGCTTAAAAACTAATACCATAATTTTGTTTACCCTCTGTAGCGTAGGAATATGAGCAGCCACTCGCAGTGCCTGCTGGAAAAATGCAGGCTTTGTGGATTTAATAACCCATCGTCATGGAAGGACAGAAAACCGCTAAAGAAGGAGAAAATGGCAAAAGTGATTAACGAAGCTTTAGGAATTGATATAGAAGCCGACTTAGAAGGTATAATAAATTCATATTTTGTTTAACCATGGAGGAAACAAATTTTTCTCCATTGTTTAACTATTTAATACAAAAATAACATTCAGTAATTGGTAAATGTGCCAGAATATCTATTTTATTTTACTTTCCTTCATATAATTATTTTTTCAGTAATGCGAACCTTCTGGATTTTTTACTTTTGAAGGTGTGCATCAGCATTACATATGTGTATGTTGCTCTATGAAGCTGAATAGATGGAAGACGAAGACGAAGAAAATGAAGAAAACTGACAAAAAGAATGTCAAGACAAACATATCCATTGCCAGTTTTGATGGAGGCATTTGTTCTTCATGTGGGAATGAAGTTGTCTACAAACCAATTCAAAAGAAGACCCTGGCAGCTTTTGAAGACGAGGCACGCAAAGCTGGACTTCTAACATGGTGTGCTGGTGAACGGCTCCAGATTATTAAGTTGACAGATACAGGTGAAGTCCTCATACATCTTGCTGTATCAAGTGATTTTAGTTGGAAGTTGACTGTTGGAGGAATTGATTCGTCTCACATGCTACATCAATTTGAGGTTACGGATATCAAACAAGTTAAAGAAGTGTTTGGAAGAAACATCTGTAAAGGCAATGATGATTTTGAAGACATCATAGAACGTAAAAGAGGACCAGATGGTCAGGTGCCTATTAGGGTATCAAAAAATGATACTTATTCGCCCATTTCCAAGACAATCCGACATAACGAATGTTTTCTGTTTGTGCCAGAAGGAAGCCAACGATGCGACATGTGCAAAATCATTAGGCCAAATTTATGTGCTATTAGAGCGAATCAGAGCAAAGCTACACCTACAGTACCAGCTTCATCCACAATCCCAAATCGGTATTTAAGTCATTCGCAACTATTAAATAAGTCATCTGCTCAACAAGCTGACAGAGTCCATTTGAAAAGAAAAATAGAGAGTCTTCAAGATAAAATAACTGAAATGCATAACAAGGAAAGTGAGGTTTTGAATCATGAACAATCAAGAAGCATGGAGGAAACTGTAGCGGCTAATGCAGATGAATTTAACAACGCACTTCCCCCAGGCTCTGCAGCAAGACTTTTATTTGACCAACAGCTTGAGTCGCTTAAGAAAAATAAACAAATGAGATGGCACCCCACGATTATCAGATGGTGTATAGCATTACAAACAAGATCAGCTTCTAATTATGATTTTTTAAGATCCACTGGATTTTTAAAATTACCGCACCCGAGCACTCTTCACAAATATTCCCATTTTGCGGATCCAAATGCTGGTTTTTCTGCCGACATGCTGGAGAGAATTGTGCGTGATGTAGGCCTAGACAAGGATGGAGCGGAGCTCAAAAGAGATGTGTGTCTTCTCTTCGACGAAATGAAGATTAAGTCAGGTCTCTACTATTCAGTCCGGACAGGAAAAATTGTGGGATTCACAGATGTGGGAAGTCTTGCTAATGAAGTCAATCGGTTTGAAAGGCGGTGTAGAGGCGAGCAAGAACCAACTCTCGCATCTCACGTATTAGTAATCATGCTGCGAGGTATATTCTGTGACCTACATTCCCCTGTTGGCTACTATGCTACTGCAACAGCTACTAGTGACCAGCTATTCACCATGATCTGGGAAGCGATCGAGTTTGTGGAGATTGCAGGCTTCCAAGTTAGGGCCTTGGTTTCGGATGGGGCATCACCGAACAGGAAGTTCTATCGCATCCATTCTGACCCTGCGACTAAAACCACCACATATTCTACACTTCACCATCTGGACCCATCAAGAACATTGTATTTTATTTGTGACGTTCCACATTTAATAAAGACAGCAAGGAATAACTTTGAAAACTCAGGCTACCACAACAACACTCGCCATTTACATGTGAGTAGTGATTACAATTTCTCTTAAATTTTGATTTTTTTTTGTTTAGTATCTTAAATTTTGTAAAAAAATATACCATTCTGTTGAATATAAAACATTTAATTTATAGTTCTAATTGTTATTCAGTACAGTAAATTTAAATGTGTTGTGATATGTAATATTTGTCACATATTTTATTTGAAACATGTAATTTATTGTTCTAATTGTTATTCAGTACAGTAAATTTAAATGAGTTGCGATATGTAATACCATTTGTCTATATTTTATTTAAAACTAGTACGACAAGAAAGATATAAAATGGACGCAGGTGCTAGAACTGTATGAATGGGACATTGGCCTTGAACGTACTTCACCAGGATTGCGGCGTCTCCATAAAATCACCTACGAACATCTTCATCTGACACCCTCTTTGAGAATGAGAGTTTACATGGCCGCACAGGTTTGTGATTTTGCCGATTGAATTATTCCATTTGGGATCTACTCAATTTTCCTCCATGCTCAGTGTGTCTAAATTGGTTTGTACACCTACATTTTTTCATGTGTGATTGACTACAATTAGTTTAATTATTTTTCTTTTTTCCTCTTAGTTTTTGAGTAGTACTGTTGCTAACGCTCTGGAAGCATATGGTAAAGAATCCACAGAATCAACAGTCAAATTCATACGAATGTTTGACAGGTTTTTTGACTGTCTGAATGTTTCGAACTGCTTCAAGGGAATACGTAACAGAAAAGAGGAATTGAAAGAGTACAGAAGTTCAGATGACTGGCGATTTGCGGTATGTACAATTTTGCAAATTCAAATTAAAATGTTTTCATTTTCAAAGTTATGCTTCATAAATAAGGCATCTTCTGTTTATTTCAGTGGCTTAAAGAAGAGTTTTTAGGTTTCTTGGATTCGTGGGAGTCTCAAGTGAACAACATGGAGAATGTGCCGAATGCTACCAAGAAAAAAAATGCTGCTTAGCCAAGAGACACTGGAAGGACTGAGAATAACAGGTTAGCAGAAAATGGTTAAAAGACAAATTGCTCATTGTGTTCAGGGTCGTGGGTCATTGGTCTGTATTTGGACCTAATTACTATTGATTATAAAAGAACTTTTCTTATTTAGGGCCTGTGGACGTAGTATTCTAGTCCCGCTCTTATTGTGTGGCTAAGAGATGTTATTTTGCTGACCATAAATGCTTAAGATTTACAATGTTAATTATTATGTGTTTCTTTAATTTCTCTTTAAAATATAACTCCTTCTTTGTTGAACTTGGCCAAACTTTACTGGATTGCCCTAATGTTAAGTTTTTGCTGAGCGAGAAATTCAACCAAGATCCGCTGGAAAACTATTTCAGCAAACAGAGAGGGGCTGGTGGAAGATGTGAGAATCCAACTGTAGCACAGTTTGGGCACAATATGCATGCGCTATATGTTGCCTCAGACTGTGCGAAAGCTTCCAAGAGGGGCAATAGCCGAGTAATTGAGAAACAAATTAAACTAGATGACACCCCATTACCAAAAAGGAAGTGAATAAAGTACAGTACTGCATGTTGCATATTTGTAATCCATTACACACAAATACCATAAATCATATTCCAATCTCTTATTATTTTACAGTTGAACCTGCATAAGTATATACAAAATGGCATTTAAAAATTGTTTAGCATTTGTAAAAATTGTTTGCCATGTAAAATGAGATCCACTTAAGAATTATTGAGTTTTACTGTATAAGGGATTAAACGTTTGTGTATATGTATATATTAGTGCTAATCAGAAAGTACAGTTCTCTGTGACTGTTGCTAGTATGGAATAAAATTTATTGTGATGATGCTGCTTTCGATAACTGCATTGCATTTGCTATTTCCTCTATAGTTAATTTTTTTTAGATAAAAAGTATGGTGGTAGAGGATTCCTCGTATATGTGTATATGTATAATAATATTAGTGCTAATCATTAAGTACAGTTCTCTTTGACTGTAGGGAGTATAAATGAAATAAAATTTATTGTGATGATGCTGCTTTCGATAACTGCATAGCATTTGCTCTCTATAGTTAATTTTTTTTTATTCCTCGTGAACAACCTCTTATTGTAGCAACAGATTTTACAGTTGAATTTACACAAGTCAATAGAAAATGGCAGTTATAAATTGCTTGACATGTTTTTTTTCCTCTATCATTAGTTGATTTTTTTTTAAATATAAAGACTGAATTAATTAGAATAAAAATTATGATAGTAATGGATATTAGATATGGATTCATTTCCATAATGCTCCTTGTCAACAATCTCTAACTGTAGCAATATATTTTACAGTTGAACTTGCATAAATCTATACAAAACAGCATGTAAAATGAGATCTAGAAATTATTATTATAATAAAATACTGTATATTGATACTGTTTAAAATTGTTCTATGTATTCATTGCTCTGCTTCTTTCTGTGTTTACATACATACAATGCTGCTGCAAGAGTCTCCAGTTCCGTTCTGAAAATTACAGTACTACCAATATCTTTACCAAATTTGATTGAGAGAATGTTCATTGCAGTAAACACAACTTTATTTAATTCCTGTGAATCGACATACATTCTCAAAATTAGTAATGATAATATATTCAGTATTCCAACAATTCTTTTCAAAATTTTTTACAATTAACAGAGGCAAACATTGAGAGATGTGATTGTGGAATTCCTACTGCATTATTTTTTAAAGATGTTAATTACAGGTCTTTGCGAAGGGCCTTTGCAGATTTTCCAGGCACGCTCTTTCCTTCTGCCCTCTTTAAATCTAAATAGACCTTTAGAAATGCATTTGTTCTAATTTTTATCCATAGTTTAATTACATCATCCAATAAACGTTTAGATACATCCCCAGCTAACTTGTTGGCTGTGATCATGCACCAATATGTGTGGACCAATTGCTTTTCTCCTATGCTATGCATAATGCATGATTTCATATCTTTGTTTGGCATTTCATTCATTCCACTAACTGTTAAGTGTTTCCTGGTTTCAATTTCTAGTGTCCTAAAAAATAAATATACATTATCCTTAATCTCAAATAATCCTCCGCGAGTTTGTTTTTTCAGCCATCCATTTGTGTACTCCAGAAACGTCCTAGAATTATTTGTCCCTTGGACTTTCCAACTACTAAGCAAAGCACAATACACTTTGGCTGTTTCTCCTTTCACTTTACTATACCGTTTATGCAGTGCATACGGTACATAGCCAGCTGTATATCTGATTACTTCTTCTGTACTCTTGTCCAAAGGGTTTGCTTCTGTGTTTTGTTTCTCAGGCAAATCCGCACTGTTTCTGTCTGCCATGATCAGCCTTAGCAAAGTTCTTAAAAGAAAGTGATGTACATGGTCATTGGGAGTTAGATTTATTGACTGAAGGAAATTAGCCCATTGTTCTTTACTGGAACTACATGTTACATACAAATGATATTGGCGGTAAACCAGTTCATTGGCTTCAGGCTTTATCTTCTTTTTATCTCCAGCAGTGATTATAACCCATATATCTTTCACCAAGTCTTGCGAAAATGCATGTACGATCGGCGATGCAATCAGGCCAAGTAATGTTGATGCCAACGCAACAGCAGCCAATGCTGCTGGAAATCCAGTCTTGTAAACAGGGTGATTTATAAGTTCATTTAGTGCTGATTCGACATAAGTTGTGAGATTTGTGATGGCATCTTCCATTTTGAATTTCATCTCTGGTCGGGCAACAGCTGAAAATACATGATTACAAAAAAACATTGTATTCTATTGGCTGAAGATTTATTCTAAATAAAGCAAATAATACAGTACTGTGAATGGCACTACTGTACATAGATTTAAAATATTACCATATTTATTATTATTGTTGTTATATAGCTCTTTTTACTTGAAAATCGATCAGAGTGGCTGCATAATAACTATGAAAACTGATTTGCTGCTGCACACTTACTTCAGAAACTTACCTTTTTTTCTTGGTACCTTGTCTTTTCCGGTTTTTGGGTCCTTCATCACCTTGTCTTTTTTTGACTTTGCTTTTTTCTTCTTTTTAGAGGAGGCATCACATGCACCTGAAATGCAACAGGGAAGGATTAATTTTCTAACCTGATTTTATAATATTTCTAGGCCTATCATACCCTGAGTTCTACTACTACTACTAGCCTAGGCCCTATGTCTGTAGTTCTGCTACGTAATGATCCCCCAAGCCTTGGCATAATTTCGTTTTTGGATAGTTTCTCCATGAAGGAAACGGACCTTGGTAAGTACAGTAGCACAAAATGGGCCCCCAGGTGTGTAGGCTCAAGCCCAGGCTCGGCAGGGCTTTCCTTTTTAAGCTTTGTTTTGGTCTAAAAAATTTAGCCAAAACATAACGTTTTTTAATCAGAACCTGCCCTACTTATTTATTTAAGGATAATAAGCTAGCCTTATAACATGTTAATGCATTAATTACACGATGCTGTTGGCCCAAACCTTGGTGCGAGCCAAAGTCTACACTGCAAACAAGCCTAGGCCTAGCCTAGGGCATGGCCATGGAGGAAATGCATAGGCCGCCTAGGCTAAGTCTAGAGCCACCTAGGGTAACTTACCATTGACATTGCTGGTAATCGGCGTATCTTCAGTCAACATTCCTTCGTTATTCTCGCAATCTAGATAGATGTATATTTTCACTCGCATCTTCCTCCTCAAAATCAAATTGTACATCTGGTAGATCATTCATGTCAAATTCTTCATCTAATAAGTCGTAATCATCACTCAAACTTGCTTCGCAATCGATCGTCGTAGCCATGTTTCAAAAACTATCAAAACACTGCGACGCGACAATCAAAACAAACTTGACATCATAATACATCTGAGCGTGCGCAAATAAGTCTTGGCCGACAGCTTTTAACTACGCATGTGCAAGCTGGTTATCGGTCGTTACGTAACGTTGCGATAAAGTCGTAATTTCCTTAATTCTTATCAGAGCGGTGTGTCACTGTGTTTGTTTGATCTTAGCATAGAAGAAACTCCTTCTAATTTTCTTTCCTCCATGGTACAATACAACAAAGCTGGCTTAGATGCCTACGTTACGTAATCGTGTCCTTTTAATCCGAGCCGACTTTACCGTTAAGCAAGTTAATTTACCGTTATTCTAGTAAAGTTAGTTAAGTCACTTAACTTAAGTGACTTAATTCCTTTAACTAGCTATAATTGAGTGGTTCACGTCGAACTTTTAACTATTTTATTTTGCACTACAGACTGTTTCATGAGGACACAACCTCAATCTTCAGGTGTTTGGCTCTGTGTGAAGCTTACTCAGAATACTGAAGTACTATAAATGTAGAAGATAACAACTGTTTATAAGTAATATGCTAGGCTATTAATCCCTCTTTTGTTTGCTAGATGTGTTAGTGATAGCCTATTGTTTAAGTTTGGTATCTTAGTAAGAACTTTTTTCTGTGTCTGCATATACTAACTAATTCGTTTCTTTGCTTAAGTGTACTACATTCAGGTTTGCAAATGATATAATATTTTTCCTGCAGGCATAGATTGCATCGCTTGCTAATGTTAGAGTATGGTTTACATTTAGATAATATTCGCCATTGTATTTTATACTTTACATTGTCGTCTTTGAGTTTCTAAGGGGGGGCATTCATTACGGCAATTGCATTGATTTGTATCCAATTGTGCATCATTACTTAATACCTTTTTGTTGTGAGCAGATATATAGAGCCAATGTTTGGCATGCAACTGTAACTTATTTTAATAGTGTTCCTATTAAATAATTTTCTAAGAATATGGTCGGGTTGGAAGCACTTATCTACAATTTTAAGGAATTCATGTCCAATTTTCACTGTATGGTGGGTTAAACCATATAATGTTTCTCTTTCTTTTCTTCTTGTTAGTTTTTGCATTGTTAGTAGATGGGTTGGATGGGTTATATTTCAGTTCATAGTTAAATCCGCTTTCAAAGAGAGCTTCCTGGTATGGTTTCTTGGTTTCGTCGAATGCTGCTTTGCTGGAAGAAATATTGGACAGCCTTTTGTTTATGCCTTCTGGTATGTTTTTTACTATTGATGGTGGATGATTGCTCTTGCAGTTGACATAGCGCGGCTTGTTATTCTCTTTTATGTAGGGTTTGTAGCTTCCGGCATTGAGATTAAGTGTTACGTCCAAGTAGTTGATAATTTTCTTGTTACATATATATATATATATATATATAGGCCTATTTAACCTTGGAAATTAAACATTTTTGAATGACATTTACAATAATTATCCAATCATATTTTATTTTTACGAGTCAAGAAGGACGTCACGGGGTCATACCCCATCGGGATTTACCGGGATCCAACAAGTTTATCAGTATCCCGCCCTGCTGAAATTTGATCGTCTCAGGGAGCTGGTTTATAAACATTGTTTTAGCATTCTTTTTAACAATGATAAATGAACAACCCCAAGGACAGCTAAAGCATCAATTCATTTTGGTAGCGTTTTCAATATTCCAGAAAACTGGACAAAATTCTTCCCATTAGGTCTAATAAAATTATGAATAGGCGTATTCAGTTTTTGGGTCTAATAAAATTATGAATAGGCTAATTCAGTTTTTGGCTCTAAATTGTATGACTAGCTTATCACGCTTCCAAAATCGGTCTTGGATTTTTTACTGATGCTTTTGACTTTTTAGGAGATAACTTTTGATTGGGATCTCCTGCATACCAAACATGCTGCAAGTATATACAGAAATGCACTCATCAGCTTGGGAACCAAAAGTGTAATACCTCAACAATAACAAACAATTCAACATGATATTATTAATCAATGAAAGCTTTATGATGGTGATGCAAATGTTAGTACGGTAAACATAATAAAAACATTAGTGTCAGTTAAAAAATGCTTTATTTAAACATGGTAGAACAAAATGAATTTGTTTAAAATGAATGGTAGAAAGAAAACAGATCGGACACTTTGTTTACCAGACGCGCGCTGACACACTTTGTCACTGAGTAGGTGGAGTCAAGTTGCTAAAAATAAAACCAAATTCCGTCATAGAAAACAACGACGTCTCCCAACTCAGTTACCCAGGGACGCATGGGTTAGGTCGGCCCTATCAAAGCTTTAGTTTCTTCGGCTGCGCGTACTGAGCGTATTAGAAGTAGGTCAGTCTCAACTTCTAGGTGAGAATTTTTCTCTATGGTGTTGATCGTGGGAAAGTTCTCATAGTGTTAGAAATCTATACAGAGTGACTA